CATATGACTCTTACATGCTTGACAAGTGGATCTGGTTGAAGTACCTGCTTAATTGTTAGTTGAATGCCACTTAAAACGCTAGAGTTAATTTCCAGCTAAAGCCTCAAGCAGAAGGATAACAGGAGGAAATACTGGTGATTGTGGACTCCTCTCTCTCTGTGTGTATGTGTGTGTGTGTGTGTGTGGTGTGCGTGCATGTATGGTTATATGTGTATGAACTTGCTTAAAACCAGAAGTACAGGATACTGTAATGTTATTGTTTTACATGTCCCTGAATACTTCAGGTTAGTCAACTGGAGTAAAGGGATTCATTCATCATTTTAATCATTTGGCTCAAACTGTAGTTATTTGTCAGCCTCTTACAATTCTTACTGTCTTCCAATTTAAACAAGGGAGGGTTAAGTTTGAGAGAAGTTACTAGAAGTTTGCTGTTCCAAAAATGCCTTCCAGTCATCCAGAGAGAGGAGAAGAATCTACTCGTATTAAAAATGGAAGGGGCTTTGAAATTGATGGAAGCGACTAGCTGGGATAGTCAACTCATCACGCTGATCTCGTACAGATGGCGGGGTTCAAACTATCGCTGTGGCAACAACCTGTCAAGCAACCAGTGAAGACTTCAGAAGAAGCAAAACAAATTTGGCCTGAGATAAAAATACCCATCTACTCTTGCTTCCAAGAGTCTGCTTTCAAGTAGGGACTAACATCCAAAAGCAATTTCTTTCAAGATGGTACCACAGTTTCCTGGCTAAAAGCTAATTAATCAGCCCTTTCTCTAGCCACAGAAGCGTCTGACTTCCCCAAAGCCAGTTCTATTCATATAAATGGAAGACAGAAAAAGTATTAAAGCTTAGATAAAGGAAAAAGTTAATGGCTCGGACTGTGGATATAATAGAAGATATATCTAGCACACATGAGGCCTTGGGTTTATACTATAGCAAATAGAGGCAAAATAGTTTTAAGTATTGTATGACTTATAAAAACCATAAGCTTAATATGACAATATAACCATAGTGATGATAGGGAAAAAAAAAAACAACCTCAGAGTAAAAAAATATAAGTATGGATGTCGTCACTCCAATTTTGTATTCAATTTCTTAAAGTCTGGATGGGTACTTAGTATACCAAACCACACACACACAAACAACTGTATTACCTTATTAATAATACTCATTTTTAGAACGCTAACATAAACACCATAAGTTCAGGCAATTAAAAGCAAATGCATGTTATGAATTTCATTCTACCAAAGATAGAGAATTTGTTCAGAGTCCTTGAAGAAGGGAATAATTTTAGCATTTATAAAATAAAATCTCAAGACAGGGCATGCAATTTGGCTTGTGACTAAGAGAACAGACAGAAAGGCAATGTCTGCCTGTCTTCCACTCTCTCAGGCTCCAGGATGAAGAAGAATCAATTAGCCCTTCACAGACAATGACCTTGAAGGCTATAGCTCTGTGCCTGAGATGCTGAATGTGCTGATGAGACAGAAGGAAATCTAGGAAGGGAGGGTGCAGTCCTGAAGGCATGGCAAAGAGTGTTTCAGAGATAATTTTGTCACTTGAAAACCGAAGCCAAGATGGCATAGCCCATGTCAAACCTTGCATCATGAAAGAAAGCCCAGTTCTTTCTACAGCTAAACTGAATGTTCTTGATTGACACAGATGAGAAAGCATACAAGGTGATGGCACCATTCTAAGCATTGTCTTCTCCTTTTACTTAATGAAGACAGCCTTTCTAAAGAACAGAAAAGCAACCAATTACAAGTCTGAAAACCAGCATTCCTAGACTAACTGCACCTTGCCTCACAGATGTTGAGTCTTGCTTTTTGAGCTCCTAAGTCCAGAAAGTTACGTTTTTCACATAGAGAACCCTGCAGGTCTAAAGCTTTAACCAACTCCCCCCTCCCCAACTTTTCAAGAGATACTGCTTCCCAGACATTATGTCTGTCCGGACACATTTGAGAATGCTGCAGCTGTGTTCAGGCCAGAGCTGGCCTCTGTGAGGCTTTTAGGCAGCAGTAAATCTTCCCTACTTATTGCTAATGCCATAAAATCAATGCCCTGGCTAGGGAAAAAAAAAAGATGGAGGGGAAGGAGGAGAAGAGGGGGAGGGAAAGAGAGAGGGGGGAGGGAAAGAGGGAGGGGAGAGAGAAAGAGGGTTGGGAGAAGGAAAGTGAGGGGGAGGGAAAGGGCGAGGGATGAGGGAGAAGGGAGAGGGAGAAAGAGTGAGGGGGGAGAGAGAGAGAGGAATATACACTATATAAAACACTTAGGAGAACTTCCCTTCAAAACCAATTTCTCAAAAGTTCCCAAGTCCTTTCTAATGGGTTCCTAGATCAGGGACCTGTGCTGTGTGTTTCTTTGTCTGTTCATCAGATGTCAAAATTACAGTTTGGCTAGAGTTTTTCAAACAGCTACCTTAATTTTTCTGGGCACTTCAACCTCTGCCAGCACATTTTTAACTGACGCTTTCAGCTGAAAACAATAAAGACAAAGAAGTAACCTTGTCTGCATGACAAGTTCTGCCTCTCTCTGCAGGATCTGCACTTGCTTTTTATAGCCTGTCATTTCATCTGGGTATTATTTCCCGGTCACTTTGCCAGGTGGGAAGAGGCAGCAAAGGCAGAGTCTGTCAGATCTTTAATGATGCTTCAGGGATTTGATGAAGATGCAAAGCAGTGTCTACACACAGGAGGCTCTCCTAATTACACCTGAAAAAGCAAGCATCCTTTCAAAGCCTTTGCACTGAAGTTGGAATGTGTCAAAAAGATCCCAACTCACCATCACGGATCAAGTGTTTTTTCCTGCGTTTCCTAGCACACTGCACAACTTCATTCTGAACAGGACTGTCTGGAGGAGGTCTGTTTATTCTTCCTTACCATCTAGAGGGAGAACTGAGTGGGTGCTTTAACACAGACCCTCTTCCTTCAGCTGTTTTACCACTCAAGTGTTTTAAACAAATTATTGAGAATAAAACAATTCTCACCTCTTATTTTTTTTTCTACTAAGTAATTCATCAATGGTTAAAAAAAAAAGAAAGAAAAGAAAAAAAAAGCACGCGTGCACACACGCACACACACACACACACACACACACACACACACAAAACATTTATTTAACTGTTGTAACCAGAAAAGCTCATTTGGAACAATCTGGCTAGTCATGGTGTCACAGCAGTCAACTTTCTGTCATACAGCTAACCTTTATGACCTCTGCACACACCAGTGTTTCATTCTGTATTGTTTTATTAGCATGAAGTCTTTTCTCATGAAGGTTATAAAAGCAGACTGTGGCAACGCAATAGGTTAAATGACACACACACATACAAAAAAAAAAAAAAGTACCTTGTTAATGGTCCTAGAAGTTTTTAATGACTGGCAAGGAATCTATTTAAATATTTGATTACAGAAGACAAAATTAATAATGGAAAAATCCCTCTGTGGAGAATTAAAGTCTGTTCTTGAACAAAATAAATCTGCCTCTGGTAACTGCTCAGTAACCAAAAATACGACCTGTGCAGTTCAGCAGTGCTCTGAGAACTTGCTGCAGTATCAGGACCAAACAATGAAAACTCAGAAGTGCGGAGATGTGATAAAAAGGCTGGAGAAAGAGCTGGAGAAACATGACAGGCAGCTTGGGGATACAGGGAGACTGAGTAAGAAGAAGGACAAAAGAAACTCTACAAAGGGGGGGGGAGGGATCCCAAACAATACTTATTGGTATAGAGAAGGTACATGCCCATTAAAATACGAAAGGCCATCAGGCATTAACTTCTAAAGCTGTTGCAAAGAAATAGAATTTAACTTAAATCCAAAGCATGACCTGAACATGCTTAGTTTTTGACTGACAACCTCAGACTTAACAATCTGGCTATATGGAAGGGCTGTTAAAAAAACAAAAACAAAACTAAAAAAAACTGATTCATCCTATGAGTTTATATGATTTTTTTTCCCTACGTCACATGATTCATCAAATAAAACCTCCCAGTTAAAAAGACAAGAGCAAAGGAAATAGACCTCTAGAGAAAACCTGGAAGCGCCCACCCACCCTTTCTTTTAACCACCACCATCATCTCTCTTTTGCTCTCTACTTACAAAGTTTGGGAGCAGTTTGGAGATTAGTTTCTGTTGTTTGTGGCTGAGTTGCTGACTTGGGCGTTCTCACCTCAGGGGTCCGAGCTGGAGAAGGGAAGGGTTGTGCAGTAGAGAGTAAGGGAGGAAAGGCTGGCGGCCGATTCTTCCGGGTCGGTACTGCTGAAGGTTCAGAGGCCACAGCAACATTGCCAACTTGTACTGTAATATGAGCCTCAGGTTCAGACTGAGCCCTAGAGACAGGTGAAGTGGACGCCTCAGATGATACCAAAACAGCTGAGGCAGCAGTTGGATCCAGAGAAATAACAGGGTCCTGGCCTAACCCCCCAGGGTCAAGGTGGGTAGGAGAGTCATATTCAAATATCTTGTCCACAAATACCCACTTTAGGCCAGCAATGCAGAGGCAGAGGCTGACTAGGCAAGCCAGAATGGGGACAATGCAGATCTTCTCTGAGTTGAGGCACCCCCTCAGGCGCTCAGCTTCCAGGCACACACAGCAGGGCACCGCCAGGCCCAGGAGTCCAGGGCTTCTCCCGTCGTCAGTGTGGGTGTCTGGCATGGGCTCCCCTGCTGGGAGCCCATCGAGAGACGGGTCTGCACTCAGCTGAGTGGAGGGGCTGGAGGACCTCCCAGCAGCTAACTCAGACATGTCTGGGGAATAAATCTCCATCGGCTCACCTCCAGAAGGCCTGGCCTCTCTCACAGTGCGTTACCATGCAGAGCCCCCCCCAACCAAATGAGACAGCATCTTGGAAGGGGAAATCGATAAGGCACCCAAGTCCAAGGCCATTATCCAAAGTAAGAGAGCTCAGGAGAAAGCAAGAAAAAGAAGAAGTAAAAAAAAGAAAAAAGAAAAAGAAAAAAAAAGAAAGGGCTTTTAGCAACTATGAAATAGAAGTGTACCGAAATATCTTGAGCTGTTGTTTCTGGGACACTTTTCCAGTTCTTTCAAATGCTTTTCCAAACCATCCTGGTTGGTCAAGAAGGCAGGGAACCAAAATAGGAAGGCAGCCGATGCCTAGCTGATTAAGTAAACCAGTATCCCAAACTGAAAGGCATGTTTCTCACCTCAAGCGTCTGAAGCTGGTGTCTGCTTAGAGGAAGAAAACAACTGTCATGCAGGAGAAGTAAAAGCAAAAGCAAGACCAGAGGCGGCGGCGGCGGCAGCAGCGGCGGTGGCAGGAGAGGCAGCAGCGACAGTAGCAACAGCATCCTGCCGTGTTTCAGCAACGGCTGAAAGAGGCTGAATCATTACAGAGCAGCAGGTGCCTGCCCTCTGAGCATCACTGCAAACAGTACCATTGCACAAGGATGCAAGGGCAGCCGGAGCCAGGAGGGGCGGCGACTCCCTTCCCCGCCCTGCCTCCACCCCCACCCCAGCCACTCCTCTTTGTCCTTCTTGCGCTCAGTCACTTTTTTCCTCTGCAGTCTTCCTTCTTCATAGCTTCTTTCTCTTCCTCCCTCGTCCTCATCCTAAATATATATATTCTCACTCCCTCCTCTCCCCCCCACCGCCGCCCCGACCCCACTCCACTGCAGGCTAGTCTCTAATGAGTACAGTACTCCCAGCAACAAGGTCCGCCAGTGAGTTCCTATTTTATCCAATTAAAAGGAATAAAGGCCATCAGAGAAAAAGAGAAGCAGCCAGGCACCAGTTAAACTGGGTCTCCCCCCGGCCCCCACCCTGTTTCTTTTTATTTCCCTCTACTAAAGCAGGCCCCAGCCTCCCACCCCGCACTCCACCTCGCTTGCTTGCTTGCTTTTAGTCTTGCTAGCTGCCTTTCCTTCACCCACTGTGGGGTCAGAAAAAAAGCCAGGGATGATGCTAGCGATCTAACAAAGCTTGGATGGGGGAGGTGGGGGTGGAGGTGGAACCTTCTGGGTTAGACCTGAGGCTTGGCAAAGTCTGACTTCTGACTCCTCCCCAGAGAGGTAAGCTTTTCAACAGCAATTTCTTCCTGCTTGCTGCTGAGAGAGAGAGCATTCCCTTCCCTAGCCAGCCCTCTAACAAGTTTTGTTCACTAACTGGACTCTTATTACCTGATCCGCAAGCCACAGTTAGAACACTGTTTGCTAACCATGGACAGCTCTGCCTTTGCCCTCTCTTTGAGGCTGAAGACTTTGCGCAAAGCCCAGCGCGAAATGCTGAGGGCATGCTGGGGCAGGGTGGGGTGTGGGAGTGTGAGGAAAGGAGGAAAGCCCATGTCTTTCTGTCCTTCGCATTTTCAATCCCCTTATTTCATCCAGAGTAGACTAGAATAACATCAAAGTGTGAGGAGCACCAAGCTCTCTACCGCTTCATTTTCAAATTAGCCTTTCATGTTGTCTCCACACTGCGGAGGGAGGAGGCCTGAATTCCCTGGGCACTGTAACATACACCACAAGTCCTCAGCTAGAATCGCACTACAAGTGCTGAGAGGCGTCTGTAAGAGCATGCCTTCTGGACTAGGTTTCATTAGCTTTAATTTACAAACAACTTCTAGGCTGATTTTGTGTGTGTTTGTGTTTGTTTGGTTTTGCTCTGTTTGGAAATGGTCCTTGAAAGACTGGGAGAAATGGAAGAGACTCTCCTTCCAAAGGAGAGAGCATAGGCTGCGGGGGGGGGGGGGCATTCTGTGGTATGGCAGTGCATGCTCTGTGTATCTGAGCATTTACGCCACACTTTACTGAGCCTGGGCATCCAAATGGTTTCCAAGGAACCATTCTATTCACCTATGTCAAGGGGGGGGGGTGTCATAAAAAGTGCTCTAAATCTATACTACAGAACCATCATACACAGTCCCAGGGCAATGAGCTGTGATGCTCAAGTCTTAAGAAAATCTGTACTATTCACACTTTATTTCGTGCAGCGTGATTCTGCTGCTTTGAAATATATTTAGGCCACTTCACATGCCAGGAGGTAAGAATATTATCATTTCCTTCCAGATGAAATTATTCCACAATTATGAATGAGTCGACGCATCTTAAACTGTGTTTGCAGTCCGATCACTAACAACAGCAAAAGCCCGGTCTAATTTGCATAACTGTAACCAAGATTAGGACAAGCTCCCAGGCAAACGTGAGTCAGTGTAAATTCACCTCTACACAGCCTGCACGTGTGCACTCCAGTGACCAGTGACCAGTATTCTAAAGCTGTTCGTGATTGGTTTCTGGCTTAATCTAGTTGGTTTGAAAGAAACGAGAGTTTTCTTAACTGAGATTCTAGTGATGGACATAAAATTTTATAGTGCAAGAGATCCCTACCAAAGCACTTAATATCAATAGTCACCTATTATCAGTATTCATGTAAATATTCAAATAGAAATAGTGACTTGATATCCTCAATTATTATAGTTCCTTCAAGGATTACCATGTCTAATTACACTTAATGCTTCCAAACCTTACATTCAAGTACTGAATGGGAGTTATCCATAGCCAAGGTCATTTAAATTTCAAAGACTGGATGGAATCAGGTATCTCCCAGCCTGAAAGGTCTGAGGGAACACCAAGGATATAACCCACAGCGCTGAAAAGGTGTTATATCGCTCATACCAATAGCAATTACCTGCCTTGCCTGAGTTACAGAAAAGGTCACTGGCTCATTCTCTAGTCCTCATATTAACCTTAATCACAGGAAGGGCTGCTGCTGATTCTCCAGCTGTCTTATTAAAATGCTTGTCACTTACAAAGAAAAGGATCATGTTACAAACTAGAACAAAACGCCGAAGATGGACCAGACTCCTAAGGCCTCCACAACTATTCTTTGGCTCGGGTTGCACAAATCTGATGTTAGGATGTATGTTTCCTCCTTGGATGTACATTTTATGAACTTTGTGGCTCCTTGCTCCCATCAGCTTGTAGAAATCCAGTTTCCCATAAAACTCTTTTGATTTGTTTTTCTATTAAATTAGAAAATGAGTGGAATTGGGAAAGGAAGGACAGCAGCGAAGAATAAAAGGAATTTCTAAATTACTTCTCTCCTTCCCTGCAGAACACGCGTAGCTGCTGCCTTCAGCCCTCCATCAAATCCTCTGCAGCAGTAAAAGTGTGAGGAAGCCAGTGAGCATGGGGCTATGACTGGAGCCTTCCTAGGATCCAACACATGTGTTTATAGGGAGCACTTCAAGGGCATGCCATTGTTAACCCTGTAAAGCCCATCTTAGTGAAACCCAGGAACATATATTCCCATGTGCTCTTAGAAACATGAAATGAGATGAAATCTTACTGCTTTCTAAAACCCTATAATTACTACCTCCTTTGTAACAATAAAAGCTGTGTTTATTGAGCTTATTATTATAGTTCCACCTATGTGTCAGGAATTCTTAAGATCATAATATACATTATGTCTCATGTTCTCTCGGCCTTTCAAATCCATCCACCTTGAAAATATAGAGACAGGTAACTCAGGTAAGTTAGCCAGGAAATAACTATTAAACGATAGGGCTAAGATTTTAAGGAAGTGGGACTCATGCTGTTTCTACTGACAAAACAAAACAATACTTTAAAAAAATATATATGTATATATAATACCTATTATGTATTTTTATATATTAGTTCAATGGGAAAATAAAGTAGCTAGAATATACAATTACGAATAAAACAGACTTTAAGAAAGCCTTAAGATGTCTAGTTTCTAAAATAAAAGCCTTCTTAAGTATTGCCAAGTGACTTTCAAAAATTAGTTACAAGGATTAGACATAACTAACAATTCAAAGATTATCTATTTATAGTTTAAATGGAACGAGGTCTTCCAAGGCCTCAGTTCCAGAACTCTTCTGGGGAAGATATATCAATTATGTACTGCTGTGAAGCCAACTGTCTTGAGCTAGCTTTACAATAGCCACCACAAGGCTGCAGGTTCACTGGGCTCAGCTGGCTGGTTCTTGTGCTGTTTGACCCCAGCTGGGGCCACAATCAGCTCAAGGCACAAGGAGGCTGAGGCATTCAAGGTGGCTCACACATGAAACCAGACATCAGCTGGGAGCACATTGGATGTCAAATGGCATAGCAGCACGAGGCTTCTCCACGTGGCTTGAGTTTCTCCCAGCATGGTCGTTGTTGATGAGAGCTGTCTATTCCCAGAGACAGGAAGCTACCCCTCTTGTTATGGGAGCTGCACAAGCTATTATCATTGTTCTTAGTTGTTAAGTAGTCATGGTGCCAGCCCAGACTCAGAGCGGTAGTAATAAATCTGAGAGGAGAGGAACTGCTTCAGGTATGAAAGTGCGAGAAACTAAGGCAGGGTCAAGAGGAGTCACAGAGTTCAAGATGGATTTGGCTGCACCAAGTCCAGCATGCAAGCATTTCTGATCCACTTTTCCAATACTCTAGCTTCCTCCTCAGCCAGCGTCAATGAAGAAAATATCCCACCACCTTATCAGAGAAAATGTTTAGGGCTGGAAATGTAGCTCAGTGGGAGGGTACTTGCCTCACGTGCACATGACCCCAGTTTAATCACCACAACTAAAACCAAACACCGACAATATATTTTTTAAATCATCAAATGGTAAATACCACTGTTAATTCAGTACAAGTAAAGCTATTTCTGCATTAATTTCATTTCTTTTCTTATCAGAAGTGAGTATACTAGCTTCAGGAGATGAAAGGGGATGACAAATGTCATTTTGCTTTTGACCATATAACTCAAACTTACTTTCTTTTTTTTCCCATTTGAAAGTTTACTAAACCTTCTAAAATTTACAGCTTCAAATAAAGAGAGAGAGAACTTACTTCATGTATATTATAGGATGGTGATGACAGAAACATCATTTTGAGATAATTACATATGTAAGTTTTAAATCACACATTTACTTGTTAACAAAATGGGGAACCACTGGGTTTACAAGAAAACTCATGGTCCCAAAAGGAGCTCTAGACACTGGCTGCTTTATTAGAACACAAATACCCAAAAGGGTTTGTCAGACTAGAACACCCCTCGGTCTACATGGAGCTTCTCATACGTTTCCAAATTATAGGGCTTTATTATTTATTTTTCCTTTTGTGACACTCTCTCCTTGTGCAGCTCAGGCTCACCCAGAACTTACCACACATCCCAGTGTGATTCCAAACTCGGAGAAGTCCTCCTGCCCCAGCTTCACAAGATCAGGGATTATAGGCATGTACCACCATAATTGGCTTCCAATCCAGTTTCTTGACTATATCACTTTGTGGATATGTGTGTAGTCACGTGTTATTATTCAATTGTATCATGCACACAGGGGCAAAAGAAAGTA